AGAGAGAGAGCGAGAGAGAGAGAGAGAGAGAGCGAGAGAGAGAGAGAGAGAGAGAGAGAGAGCGAGAGAGAGAGAGAGAGAGAGAGAGAGAGAGAGAGAGAGAGAGAGAGAGAGAGAGAGAGAGAGAGAGAGAGAGAGAGAGAGAGAGGGAGGGAATTAAACAGACAGGGAAAGGGCCAGGAGACGCCATAATCTTAACCCAGACTTTCCCTCCTTCCAAAGTCGAAATCCCCGAAGTGGCCGAAATGGAAGTGAAATCCACCGGGCTCGAGAAGGCACTCGTGACGTGGCAGAAGACCGAAGCCGAAGATGACGTCACCAGTTACGTCATAACTTGGACGAAAGCCGCCCCGAGTACGAGTAACCAGGCTAGACTAAGGCAACCACTCCCCCTCGTGGCCCAGGGTTTCAGAGACGTCGAACAAGAGCGGCATCACAGGATCGTCCCCGCGTCGAGTCCCAGCTTAGAGGTCCTGGCTCTCGATCCCAGAGAGGGCTACGAGATCTGCGTCAGCGCCGTCAGGAAGGACGTTGCGGGAAATCACAAATGCAAAGGGATTGAACTCGGTAAGAATTATTTCGTTCTTTCATTCCTTATCTATTTATTTATCTATGTGCTGAATACGTTAATAAGGACGAAGATATTTATTTATCTATTTATTTATTTATCTATGTGCTGAATATGTTAATAAGGACGAAGATAAATAAACAGGTAAATTGAATGAAGTTACTGAACTCTTATTCTGCTATATAGATTGGAATATTCATTGGAAGACATATAATGAGTAATTCAGTATCTATATATAATGATGCTTTGTTAAATAAGTAAACTTAATGAAGAAATTGTTAAAGAAATCAAGAGACAGGCAGGTAGTCACACTCAAGACTAAGCTGAAAGACAACTTCAAAAAATAAAGACAAAAAGGAAAAGAAAATGTCCATAGCATTAGCGTTTTTCTGATTTAATCTTTATACAAAAAAAATCCATCAACACTTACAGGGAAGGACGACCCAGTTGACTCGCCCACTGACCTGGTCTTCGAGAACGACCTCCTCAGGTGGAACAGGGTTGTCTCGGCGTCTGGTTACCTCGTGGAATGGCGGCCTCGACTTGGAGGAATCAACCAAGGAGGTCAGGAAGAGGTCAAGGCGACGAGTTGGCCGGCTGGAAACCTCTCGCCAGGGCGGTGGGTGGTGAGCGTAAGGGCGGAGACGGAGACGAGTGCGAGTCAGGCGGTATCTGCGGAATATCTGAAGAAGGGTGAATAACTCGAAGAACTCTCTTGCTCTATCCCTATTTCCCTTTCTCTCTCTCTCTCTCTCTCTCTCTCTCTCTCTCTCTCTCTCTCTCTCTCTCTCTCTCTCTCTCTCTCTCTCTCTCTCTTCCCCCGTATCTTGAATTGAACTCACAAAACGAAGTTCTAAGAAATTGTTACGATTTTTTCAGGATTTTGAACTGAGTTGAGGTTCGACTGCCATCTTTTTAAAGATATAAGACTAAAATGTATATAAAAAACGGAAAAGGTAAAGACGTTTAAAAGAATTGAAAGAATAGAAAAAAACATGAATTTGCATAGAATTCCAAACATATATTGCCAGCTCCGAAGAAAGTATATCCTGTACAACATAATTAAAAGAAAGAAAAAAAGTAGATACTAATGTATACAGTAGAAAAAAAGAAAAAGAAAAAAGTGCTAAGTTCACACCATCAAACCACGTTCCTTGGTCCCCCACGCAGGCATAGAAATCGTCTCAGCTGTTCAATCCAAAAACAATCAGCTGTTACTCCGATGGCAAGAGTTACCGAGACCTCCCTGTGCCGAGTCGAAGTGCAACTACAAAATCACGATCTCCCACGATAAGGCACCCTTCTGGCACTCTTGCTCGGGGCTGAAGGACGACTGCGAGAGAGTCATTCAAGTAGAAAGTGGCTCTCAGGTGGAAGTGGCACTGGAAAGGGATGGAGTGAAGAATTCGATAAAGGAAGTGATTTACGATTTCTCAGGTGGGTTGTTGGGAGTGTGAAAGGTCAGTTCCTCAGGTTGGGTGATGATAGCACTTTATTCCCCATGGATGATGATAGCACTTTATTCCCCATGGAAGATGATAGGACTTTTTTATGATGTAATGTAAAAGGATTTTATTCCTTATGGGTAACGATAGGACTTTATTCCTCATGAGTAATGACAGTACTTTTTCCATCATGTGATATAATAGGACTTTATTCCCCATAGGTGATAAAAAGGTAACAATGTAGTTTTGGAGGAACTGCCATGTCTTCAATAGCTAATAGATAGTATCAATGCTAATAATATTGATGACAATGATTATGATGGTAAAAAATAATAATGATAATGAGAGTGATGGTGATGATATTAATAGTAATGATAATAATGAAAATAATGATGCCAACGATGATCATAAGAATAAAGATAATTATAATGATAGTAATAATACTCATAATTCATAAAAACAACAATAATAATAATATGATCTGGTTACACAATAAGATAATGATAATGATGGTGATTATAATGGCTATGATAATAATAATAATAATAATAGTAATAACAATAAGATAATGATAATGATGGTGATAATAATGGCTATGATAATAATAATAATAATAATAATAATAATAATGATAATAATAATAATAATAATGATGATAAAAACAATAATGACAATAAAAATAATGATAACAAAGCGAATACCCCAACAGAAGTGTCAGGGCTGAGCCAGCGATCCTCGCCAAGTGCCAGGGAAGTGACAGTGTCATGGACTGCGGTAGACGAAGCTGAACTCTACAACGTGACTTTATTCGCCGACAGTGCCCGATCCTCCATTAGACTCACGGAGATGATTAGTCGGGAAACGTGAGTTCTGGCGAAGATTGTGTTTTTATATCGTGTTGTATTTTTTCATTTGTCATCTATTCCTCGTGGATGATAATGTGAATGTCTTATTTGATTATTGAGGATTGATGCGATAGTTTGGTGTCGTTTATTGTTTTTATTTGAGAGAGATTTTTTGGGCGGTTCTTGGGTTTCGTTATGCTTCTTTTCGCCTGTTTTATGTATATATATGTATATATATATATATATGTATATATATTTATATATGTATGTATGTATGTATATATATATATATATATATATATATATATATATATATATATATATACATATATATATATACATATATATACATACATATATATACATATATATATATATATATATATATATATATATATATATATATATATATACATACATATATATATATATATGTGTGTGTGTATATATATATATATACACACAGTAGAAATCGCCTAAGTCGAAGTCGCACAAGTCGGATAATCGCGTAACTCGGATGAGGGTCAAAGGTCCCGATTTTTCCTAACGTTATTTCCATTAACCCATTCGCGCCGGGTAAAAATGAACAAAAAATGGGGGGGAAATGCTGTGTTCATATTTTATATTTTTTTGTGAGATTTCTCTACACTAGATGGCTCTGCCTTACCTGATTTCATTTGACGGGAAAATGTATTTTTACTAGTACAATGAATATCGACGGTTATTTTTATTATAAACATTATAATTACTATAATGTTAGTAACAGCAAAATAAGATAACGTATAATATTTTCGTAAATTAAAGAAAAGGGTAAACAGGCGAGACAGGCAGTACAAGTACAAGTGCCGCCATCTATGTGTAAAAACAATTAAACAAGTAAACTCGCAGTGGGCCCGTCACATATACGTGACACCCGGTGTGAATGGGTTAAATTTAGTCGCGTAACTCAGAGACTACAAATCGGATTTTCGTACAACTCTGATGAAATTTCCTGTCCCGATGTAATGCATTTCCATTGAAATCACATCGTGTAAGTCGGATGAGGTTTGGCTTTGCATCAATACTATAAAATATAGCCGTGTCATACGCTCATTGGATCACAGACTGCTCAAGACATCTACGGTAAGTGACATTAATTATTAGTAGCGCCGGAGTGTCGGGGCCTTGCAGTCAGCTGGTTTACCATCCCTGTATTGTTCTTAACTGACCGCATGCTGCGAAAGACGCACGAGCCATGCGCCACCAACGTCCAGACTTCATTAATCATAATTTTCTGTAAGTCGGATAAAATTCACTGGTCCCTTTTCATCCGACTTAAGCGATTTCTACTGTGTATATATATATATATATATATATATATATATATATATATATATATATATATATATATTTTTTTTTTTTTTTTTTTTTTTTTACAGTACTGAACATGGCAGAAAAAAACGTTAACATCGATCACTGCCAATAGAAAATCTTCACGGTTGAAATATCTTCAGACAAACTCACGCAATATACAATGCAACTTACACGCGTTTCTTTAACCAGACTGACACTACAAGAAGCTAACATGGCTGACAACGTACTACTCATTCAACCCTGCGCAGACAAGTATCATTGTGGGACCGGCCGGAATATCACGGTGATGTCAGCTGCAGGTACATCAGAGCGGTGTTTGTAAGCAGACGGAGGGAATGGGAAGGAGAAAGAGAGAGCGAAAAGAGGGAGAGAGAGAGGGAGAAAAAGAGAGAGGGAAAAGAGGGAGAGAAGGAGAGAGGGAAAAGAGGGAGAGGGAGAGGGAGAGAAAGAGACAGGAAGAGGAAGAGGGAGTGGGAGAGAAAGAGACAGGAAGAGGGAGAGGGAGAGAAAGATACAGGAAGAGGGAGAGGGAGAGAAAGAGAGAGGGAAAAGATGGAGAGGGAGAGAAAAAGAGAGGGAAAAGAGGGAGAGGGAGAGGGAGACAGAAAGAGGGGAAGGAAGGGAGAAAGGGAGGTAGGGTGGGAGAGAGGGAGAGGGAGAGAAAGAGACAGGAAGAGGGGAAGGGAGGGAGAAAGGGAGAAAGAGAGAGAGAGAGGTGAGAGGAGGGGGGAGAAAGGGAAAGAGAGAGAAAAAAAGAAAGAAAAAGAGGGAGAGAGAGAGAGAAAGAGAAAAGAAGAAAAAGAGGGAGGGAGAGAGAGAGAGAGAGAGAGAAAGAAAGAAAGATATATATATATAGAGAGAGAGAGAAAGAGAAAGAGAAAGCGAGAGAGAGATAAACAAAGAAAGAAACGACCAACCAAACAAACAATCATTCGAACACACAAAATACACACCAAAAACCATGCACACTCCACCCCCACACCGAACACCCACCCGAATACACACACACACACACACACACACACACACAAACACGCAAAGCCGCGAAACCAACCACCCTGCTTTAATCACCGGATAACCTGAAACCAATTTTCCCACAGACTCGTCCTCGGCTAAAGTGCCTGTTTTCGCCACGTCGGTCGCGGTCGGCGTCCTCCTCCTCGCTGGCGTTGTCCTCGTGGCTGTTGCTGCTGCTATGTGAGTACCAGTCCGCGAGTGTGTGTGTGAAAGGAGGTAGGCTGTGAAGTAGGATGGACGAGGAGTAGATTGGCTGTGTAAGTAGAGTGGTCATGTAAGTGGATTGGCTATGTAAGTAGATTGACTATGTAAGTAGAGGGGGTATGTAAATTGGTTATGTAAGTGGACTGGTTTATGTAAGTAGATTGACTATGTAAGCATATTGGCTATGTAAGTAGATTGGTTATGTAAGTAGATTGGCTATGTAAGTAGATTGGTTTTGTAAGTAGATTGGCTATGTAAGTAGATTAGTTATGTAAGTAGATTGGCTATGTAAGTAGATTAGCTATGTAAGTAGATTGGCTATGTAAGTAAATTGGTTATGTAAGTAGATTGGCTATGTAAGTAGATTGGTTATGTAAGTAGATTGGCTATGTAAGTAGACTAGTTATGTAAGAAGACTGGTTGTGTAAGTAGATTAGCTATGTAAGTAGATTGGTTATGTAAGTAGATTGGCTATGTAAGTAGACTGGTTATGTAAGTAGATTGGCTATGTAAGTAGATTGATTATGTAAGGAGGAAGTTTGTGAAGTAGGTTGGACAAGTACAAGGTTATGTAAGTAGATTGGTTATGTAAATAGGAGTTTTATGAAGTAGTTTGTATAAGAAGGTAGTTTATTAAGTAAGGACTATAAGTAGACATTATTAAATAGGTCGAAGAACTGGATAGTTTATTTAGTAGGCTGTGTAAGTAGGTAGTTTATTAAGTGAGCCATATAAGTGGATAGTTTATAGAAGTGGATAGTAGGGCACATAAATGGAAAGTAGTAGTAGGTCGTAAAAGATAGTTTTCTTGTTAATGGCGAACAAATAATCATTAACAGTTTTATTAACATGAATATATGAGGAAGGCAAATAGGCGCCATTTTTTTTTTATGTACATGCGTACAGTGCACATCTTTGGATTGAAAAAAAAGAAAAAAAATGGTGTTAACTGCTTACCTGACTGTGAATTTACAAATAAATAAATAAATAAACTTGTTAATGAGCGGAAATGAGCGGAAATACTTTTTTTCTTCTTTTTTTTTAGATTTGCAATTATAACGATTGACTCAAATTTTGCAATGAGGTTAAATAGACGTCGCGGTCTCAAAATTTTAGTAAGATTAATGTTTTAAAAATCGTACCAAAAGGGAAAACTAGATTAAGACATCAACACCTTCCTTTGACAGAATGAAGAAAACGAGAAGAAAGCGGACGGAGGACACTTGGCGTCTTGAGGAAGTCAATAGAGCGGTAAGTGACAAAAGGAGGGAAAGGAGGGAGGGAGGGAGAAAGAGAGAGAAGAGTGAGACGGAGAGGGAGAGAGAAGGAAGGAGGGAGAAAGAGAGAGAGGGAGAGGGAAAGAAGGAGAGAGAGGGAAAGGGAAGGAGGGGAGGGGGGAGAATGAGAGGGAGGGAGGGGAGAGGGAAGGAGGGGGGAGAAGGAGAGAGAGGGAGAATGAGGGGGGAAAGAAAGAGAGAGAGGGAGAGAAGGAGGGAGAGGGAGGGAAGGAAGGAGAGAAGGCTGTAACTACCTTCAGGCAATGACTGGTTGGGCAGGAATAGCGGTTAACGGTTCGACTCTTTATGGATGAAGAGTGCACACGAATCAGGAACAGAATACGAATATCTTGGGTGTATGGGGGGGGGGAGCTGAAAGGTCAAATGGGGTCAGCTATAATCGTCATCTAGACTACTACCTTCAGACACGGAGCCCACATGACAGACGCTTAATTTAGACTTTGGTTTATAGACATGATCTTGAACTAATGGCTTACACAAATCATGATGTTATGTGTATGTCAGAGAGAGAGAGAGAGAGAATTTGGATTCGATTTGACATGTTTATTGAGACAAAAGCTTACATCTCAAAATGATGAGGTGACTTAGGTTATCCTCACCCCTATCTTAATAAGTTCCTATGAGGGCTCACATTTCACATGCAAAACTTAGGTATATCTCCATTGGATCTGCCCTAGTGCACTGAACATATAACTGTGGTTAAGACACGCTTACACTATTAACAGTACTCTGTTGTTCACGCTTTCCTGAGCCAGGTCCTGACCCAGGCC